GCGGACCAGCCGGGTGGGGGACCGGGAACGACAAAGGGACAGGGGCGGCACGGGAGGGAAACGTGGAGGGTAACGGAAGCCGGGCGGCAGAGGAGCGGGCCACGTGCAGACCCCGCGGCAGGGCCAAGGATGGGGAAGGGAGGGGCGTCCAGGGACCGGCACAGGCTGAACAGCGGCCTCGTGTGGCTGGAGGCGGCGGGTGGGGCGCGTGTGGGGCGCGTGTGTGGAGGGCGAGGGAGCGGGGGTTAGCGCAACGCCCGGCAGCGTCGCCGCCGCCAGCCCGGAGCCAAGGCAGCCGGTCCCCACACCCCGAGCGCGCAGCCCCGCCTCGTTTTACCTTCTCAGCCTTACCTCGTACACCCCGCAGAACACCGACATGAACTTGCTGAGGACAGCAGCACAGATGCTGGCAATGTGGACAAAAGGGCCCTGGCAGAGAGGAGGCAGAAAGGGGTCAGGGGCAGGGGGCCAGGAGGGGGCTTGGTGGCATTCATGGACTGACATCGGGCGCTCCAGGCACCTACTAGGGGCTGGAAATACAGATGTGGGTAGGAAAGAGGTTCTGCCTTCCCAGAGCTTCATCCCAGAGAGGAAGGGAGGGGACGCCCCAGCAGATCATCATTTCAGAAAATGCCAAGGGCTACGAAGAAGCTGAGAGAGGGGAAGAGGACAGAGAGAGAGAAGACAGAGGGTGGGGTGGGAAGGGCACAACTGAGTAGGGCCTTGGTGGAAATGAGGGCATGATCTACATGGGTGTCAGGAGGAAGAATGTTCCAGGCTGGAGGAACCGCAGATGCAGGAGCCCCCATACGGGGGCAAGCTTGCGTGGTGGCAAAACAGAAGTGCCTTGTCACCCAAGCACAAGGAAGGAGGGGCAGCCTGGAAGGACAGAAGGCCAGCAGAGAGGAGCCCCATCACTGCAGGCCCCCTAGGCCCTGGGAAGAAGCGTGGACTTCCTTTTAAGAGGAATGGAGAGCCATTCAGTTTCCTGATTCCATTTTGAAACGATGACTCTGGCTGCAATGGGGCAAGAACTCCCACAAGCATGACCCTAAAAAAAGCACAGCCTCTTTTTGGTCTCAGTTTCCGCAGAACTTGTCTGGATTATCTCTAAGGCAGTGGTTCTCAACTGGGGGCAGATTCTGCCCCCAGGGGACACTTGGCAATGTCTGGAGAGATCCTGGTTGTCACAAGGGTGGGCTGCTACTTGCATGGAGTGGATAGAGGCCGGAGAGGCTGCTAATTGTCCTACAACACACAGGAAGACCCCCCGGAACCAAGAACACCTCAGCCCCAAATGCCAACAGCGCCCAGGGTGCGAGATTCTGCTCAAAGGCCCTCCCAGCTCTGACGTTTTTGTCATTGTGCCCCCAGGACGAGGACCTTCCCATGTACCTCCCCTCTGGAATGTCACTTGGCCCTGGCTCATCCCTGTCCATGGTCCACGTCTGCCCCCAGCGCTCCCTCCAGACCCAGGGCTGCCCTCTGCCTGAGCGCACACCTCAGTCACTGCTATCTTACCTCCTTCCCCACAGGGATGCCGCTGCCCAGCCCCGCAGTCAGGGCCACAACCTTGGCCACGAAGGCCTTGAGCGTGAGATATTCCTTCAGGACAACCCCTCGAAGTATTGTCTTCATTTCAGGGATTCCAGAGCCTAAAAGGGTTTTAAAAAATCGTTACATGCAGGTTCAAGCTGGAGGTTAAAGAGAGATGGACAGCCAGACAGTGGACACGGGGGTGGGGCAAGGGGGCTGTGGCAGGGAGGAGGGGCAGTGGCAAAGCAGTGAAAGGGCTGGGGGCTGGGGAGGAGGCTGGGGGAGGGAAGAAGGGGAATGGGAGTTCTCCAGGCCAATAGGATTCTGCTGGATTATGCTGATTGCTTGATGGGGTAGGATCCTAGAAGTTCTCACCAACAGCCTGGGGAGAGATGAGGTGGCAGAAGAGGGCGCTGAAGAGGATGAGGATGAGAGGGAAGGTGACCCAGACCAGGAACTGCAGAGGCAGGCTGGGCTGCACATGGTAGTAGGTCCACTTGTAGGCTGCAGAGACAGGCGTCTGGGCTCAGTGACTATGTCACTGCCACCCGCCTCCCGCAGCATAGGACAGCGTGCTAGGAACATGCTCCCGCCTGGCTCTCCTGTTTAACCTCAGAGATGCACACTCTGGGTGCATCGTTAGAGGCTATGGGGTGCCCAGCCACCCTGGTTTACCCTGTACTGAGGGGTTCCTAGGACTCCAGATGTTTTCCAGTTGCCCAAAGTGGAAAGTCTTAGGAAAACTGGGACAAGTTGGTCACCTTATTAGAGGGGCCCCCACAGCTTGGCTGGTAGCAGGTGGAAGGGGCAGGAAAAATGGATCTGGGTCTCGGTCTGGTCTTGTCCTGGGTCAGAGTCACACCTCATCTCCTCTGTGTACCATCTCCCTCCCAAGCTTCCCCAGGTGAAACTCGAGAACAGTCGCAGTATGGGGAGGGCAAAGGACCAGGTTCAACTTACCCTGAAGGATTTTAGCACTGACATAATCCATGCACCAGCTAACCAGGGCCATAAGGAGCCCCAGAAGCACCAGAAAGATCCAGTCTTCCCCTAATTTTTTTCTTACCATGTGTCCCAGGCGGTGGATACAATCTAGGAAGGGAAAGCAGAGAGGGGCAGGTAACCAGTCACTGCTCGGGGTGTGACTGAGGATGGGGGAGGTGTGGGGCCCTCAGTCTTGTCTGTATGTCTCATTCCCCGAGTTTCTCCTCACCTCCCTGCCCTTCGGAGGCCACCAAAGTCCAACTCCCCATTGGCTACTTGATTCTTTTCTAAACTCTGGTTTCTTGGGGCTGCATGGGAGGGACAGTAGGAAGGCAGAGGGAGAAGGAGGTGGGAGCCATGTCTTGTCCTTAACACTTGGAGGAGGGCTTGATGTGCACGTGGGGGCAGCGGAGGCAGGAAGTATGCGGTGGGACTTCCAAGTTAGTGTCCTAAGCCCTGTACCTCCTTCCATTCCAGATTCCTTTATTCCTCTCCCCATCACCTTGACATTTAGAATAGTGATCCTCATCCTTGCTGTCCATGGGAGCACTGGGGCCCGTCTTCTTGGGCATCCCCATGTCCTCCTCCTTGTCTGAGAGCTGCTCTTTGTGAAGGCCATAAATCTGGACAGAGGGAGATGGGAAAGGTCTGTCTCGTTGAAGAGTCAAAAGAAATAGAAGGAAGCACATAGATCCACAGGAAAAACGACCAAGCAGCCATTAAAGACCCTGGGAGTTGAGGGCCTCATCCAGGGTCACTTTGTGGTCCTTCCTGCCCTCCACTCCCCACTTTCCATCCCCACACTCCCCTCCTCACGCTTGTCTCTCCAGCCACACCCTTGCCCACCTGTACTCATCTTGGTTGATAGCAGTCTTCATCGAGGGGACCGATGCTACCAGAACGACGCTAACACTGGTGTTGGGGTCTTAGATGTTATGTGTCACTGCTTCCTGTGTCTCAGCCCCTCTCTCTCTCATTTCCCCAGACGCCCCACACTGAAGTGGACTGGGTGAGGATGGACTAGAGGTGACTCTTGGTTACACCTGGCCTTGGTGTGTCTAGCCTTACTTGAGGCCCCTCAGATACTCTGCCAGGTTCAGAGAAACCCACCCACCTCCCCTCCTATGCACACACAGGACCCAGCCCTGAAAAGGCAAGTCAGTCCACTTCTTCCTGGAGCAGGGTAATGAGATGTTCACCAAAATGTGAAGAGGGCCCAGAGCAGTGCCCCTCAGATCTGGGAGCCTCCACTCCCATCCCAGAGTAGACCATATGTGTTTGTGTGTGTGTGTGTGTGTGTGTGTGTGTGTGTGTGTGTGTGTGTGTGCATCGC